ATCCAATTAAAAAAGAAGTCAATGTTGCAAAGAATATCGATATTAAGAAAAAGAAACGTGAAGACAGCGATGATGACGATGACGATACCACTACTAACAAAGATTCGTATTGGACGGATATTGGTTGAAATTAACGCCGCCTAAAAAGCGACGTACAAAACAATTGAACACCGCGTCAGATTCACGTTCGAATTATCGAAAGAACCAACAATAGAATCATCGAAAGAATCACCGAAAATAGTGCTGTTTGTGCGAAACAAAGATGTTTTTGAAATAAAAGATGTCAGTGAACCGTCACTCGAAACAACTATCAAACAGAATCTGCAAATGCAAACAAGAAGTCGTGAGGAGCTTCATGGTCAACTAAGACCATTGAGACGAAAGTATGTGAGCCTTCTTCTCGGTGACGACACAAATAAAGTGATAGATAATGTATACGGTGTCTATTTCGATAAAAGTAGTACGATGCTCGGTGACAAAAAGATTGACGTTGACAAAAATGATTCCATAATCATAGACAATATGAGATACAATGTACACCAGGATTATACGAATTGATCTTCAAGAAACTTCCCGATGAGGCTGTATTTACTGAAGATGACAAACAAACTTATAAAGGTATACTATTAACAACGAATGCTCATAAATGTGGTCACAGCGCCTATAATCTCATCATAGGCAACAAGGGATACAAATACATTAACATCATCGCTCCGCTTGTATTTACATATAAAAAAAGTAGTAAAAAGAGTGCAGGTGTAGGCAATATACCATCCACCATAAAGTTAAATGACAAGATCGATTACATGCATTGGGATGATCCCAACGAGCTGATGTCTCCGACTCAGTGCTCGATGCTTCGCGCCGAGCTGGTCACAACGCTCACGACAACGAAATACTATCGATCATCAAGGAACATCGCGAAGCCAGTATTATTATAAATTAATTGTGTATCGACAAAACGAGCCAGTCGATTGGCGTCAGTGAAGAAAAAACGTTTTTTAATCATATATCTCATTTACATATTATCATTTATATATTATTATTAATATTGTTGAAACATGAGATCGTCAAAATTCGATGGACATGATGAAAAAAATGTTAATTCTGAGAAACGACAACTCGTTGAAGAATTGCACGTTCCAGCGAGAAGAAATTTTTCACAAAGATGTGTCATAATTCGAGAATACGACGATCTATGGCAGGTTGATATCGTCGAGATGCGTCCGTACTCGAGTTTTAATAGAGGTCATCACTACGTATACTTATCGTCATCGATACGTTGAACAAGTACGCCTGGGCCGTACCGCTTAAGAACAAGACGGCTGTTGCTGAGATAATTCGAGAGAGTGGAAGAGCCCGACAAACTTGCAAAGGGATATGGAGAAAGCGTTTTACAACGCCGATGTGCAGAAATTCTTGAAAAAACCCATCGTTAATCATTATTCCATGTATCAATATCAATCGTCGGTTCAATCGCACGTTTAAGACATGTGGAAGACGTTACACTCAACAGTATTTACAAGTGGATCGACGCGCTACTACGTCTCGTGTCAGATTACAACGCGCGCAAGCATCGCACTATCAACATCCGTTGATGTAACTCTCGCGATCGCCAAAAGACTCTTGGTCACAGTGTACAGCGTGATAAAGATCGCAAGCAGCAAAATTCAAAGTAGGCGTACGTTTCAATAAGAACATCCGTTCCTTATGACGAATTTATAATCAGTCAACTTAATTATGCATTCCACATTTTTTACGTTTAATAAAATAATTTACAAACAAGTCTTTGGCACACCTATGGGCTCACCAATGTCTCTGATGATTACTGACTTGGTCATGCAGGATCTAGAGACAACTGCGCTCGAGCATCTACCTTGTCAATTATCATTTTATTATCGCTAAGTAGACGATGTTATATTGTGTGCTCTATCCGATAAGTTAGACGTAATTTTGGAAATTTTCAATTTATTACATGAACGACTAAAATTCACAATCAAAATAGAAGCCAATCGTCGTCTTAACTTCCTGAATGTCTCGATCATCGTTGAAAATGACAGTATCATTTTCGAGTGCTTCCATAAACCCACCTTTTCAGGAAGATATCTAAATTATAATTCACACCATCCCTTGGAACATAAAAAGGTATTATTGATGGTTGACAAGTCATCCAATTGTCACATCCACGGTTTCATTCTAAGAATTAAGATTCGATCCTTTTGAACAATGGTTATCCATTGGATTTTACTATGAAAATGATTAGGAATAGAGTGAAGTACCTTTTTTATGATAAACCAATTTGTAAAGATAAAGAAGAAAATATGAGAATACTAAAGAAAAACTTTTTCATGATTCCTTATGTTCGCAACATCTCTGAGAGTTTCTCATCACTGGCCAAGAAACATGATCTTAAAGTTGCTTTTTCCTTATCGAATACTTTAAAGAGATTCATTACTACGAGCAAAGATAAATTAGATCGACTGTCATATTGCGAAGTAGTTTATAAAATTAATTGCAATGATTGCGAGACCATGTACGTAAGACAAACCAAAAGACAATTAAGGACGAGACTTCACTAATATATTACTGACATTAATAAAAAAGTGACTCTTCTTTTGTAGTTTCTATGCACCGCTCTTCCAAAAATCATTCGTTTGATTGGGAGAATGTTAAAATTTTAGATAAGGAGCTTGGTTTTACCAAGAGAATGGTTTTTGAAATGGTGCATACTAAAAAGCAACCACACGGTCTTAACAAACAGAGTGATACGGACTTACTCTTTGATATGTATCTCCCTATCCTGAACTCCCTTTCCGATTCTTAACTTCCCTCCTTGATTCGCCATCTCCTTCCTAAAATTATCTCTTTCTTTCCTCTTCTTTATCTTCCCTTTGATTTTTGTTTCTTGTTTTTCGTTTTCACTTGTTTTTAATTTTTCCGTCTTTGCTCTCAATCTCATAATGCCTTGTCTCCTGAGAGCGATCTTTGAGAGGGATCTTTTGTTATACCTTTTTCTACTGCTTCCGATCAGGTATGATCAATTCTTTATTTTGATCAGGCACGACCTGATCAAAATAATTTAATCTTTTCGTTGGTTGGCCCGTATTATTTATACTTGTTAATATTATTACTTTTTTATCCGTTGACATTTTATATCATCTATAATATTTTGATAACTCATTTTTACATCGAATTTTATTTTTCGCAATCCAGGTTTCATTATTAATTTTTTTGTATATGTTTCTAGCTTAAAATGATTTCAAATTATTGATCTAAAGCAGACTTTTTCCCTCTCGGATCTCTGATTATGGCTTTGCTACGAATTCAAACAAGTATACACCTACGTCCCCTAACATTTGTTCCGAATTTACATCAGTCTTCGAATGTTACGACTACGACTTCATCTAGCGACAGAAGTAAGGCGTTCCTATTTTTTAACGAAACCGAGATCGAATATATTATAACTTTATATCAACATTATAGCAAATTTTATACACTGAGGAAGACCACATTAAAGGTCGAAACGTTTGTAATATATATGTAAATTTTTATTATCATTGACATCAGTTAATTCAATATATAAACAATGACACTTAGCTTGGTTCGTCCAGTTTATTTTATACTTTGATTTTAAATCTTCCGAGCCTCATAATCATTATTGTATTCATAAACTATTTATAAAACGTAAAAATTGCGCATGTATTATTACTATAAAAAAATTTATTACACGTAAAATTTATTACACATAAAATGTACAATACGTGTACAAAAATATAAAAAGTATCTACATACATACATACATACATACATGCTTACATACATATATACGTATAAAATACATACATAAAAATATAAAAATATAAAAGATATTAAAATATATGTAGATTATATATATGTATATATAATAATAACATTTTCATATTTATATTTTTTGTAAATATTTTTTGTTTTTCACTTTGTCGGAATATGTGTTCCATTTGCAAAAATATATCAAAATATATCGAAACATCGCTTGATTTACATAAAATAATGTATCTTTTTTAAAACAACGTATTCACTCTAATTTGGAATAATAAAATGTTTTGTTTTCTCTATTATGGACAGAACGAATGCATTTTTTTATATAGCCTAGAAGTTTTTTGCAAACTGTGAATTATATAACCGAGTGATATGATACAATATATTCATTTGAACATTGTTGATTTCAAAAATAGGAATTTCGTTTAAGTTTATTTTTATATCATTATTCTGTTTTTTTGAATAAAATCCAAAAATTGTTGGCATTAGGTTTTAATTTCTTAAGGCCATTATTTCTTTTCCCACATTGTTGGTTCAAAATGAACCTAAAATGAACATAAAATAATAAATAAAAAAGATATTTTATTAAAAAATTAAATAATACAATATTCCACAAAAAAACCTCGCGAAGATATAAAGTATTCGTTGACTTCCAATATTGTCCTACATTTGCTGCCCATTTTGCTCTTCGTTCAGGATCACGAGAGAAAATTTTCATAATATATCCTTTTTTTGAAGAATTGTTGCAGTTTGGCGCACAACAACCACCCATTTTAGCAAATTTAATGAAATTTGCGATATATTTTCTAACGTGTTTAAATACGTTCTTTATAGGCTAATGTATCACGCTTTTTTGAACTGTTTGGTGCACATAGTCGTACTATATCTATTAGTTTGCAGAAAAATGCTGGCACCAATAAAAAATGAGAATGTTATTTCGCGATTCTTATTAGAGGGTCTCTAGTTCGACCATGTCAGGAAAAAGATCGGCGTGACCGCTTTTAGGTTCCTCTCTGCTCTCGCATACCGCGAGAGCAGAGAGCGAAAAATTCGCGATTGGTCAGATTTTCGATACGCACGTATCGCGTATCGTGCGTATCGAAAATCTGACCAATCACGAACTTTACAATAATAGATTCGGCGGAACGGCTGCGTATCAAAAATAACGGAACGTCCGTACGACGCGTACAGCTAAAACACGTCCATGACCACTCTCAGGCTTCTCTCTGCTTGTAGCATTTGTTTCCTCAGTATCGCCAAATTTTTATAGCACATTAATTTTGATCTTTCCCAAATAGTTGGTAGCCATGTACTTAACACACAGGCTGCATTCCGATATTCATTGCCAGTACTGAAAATATATAGTTCAAGTCACGTATATTATAGATTTTCAATGCTTGCAATGAATATCGGAATGCAGTCACAAACTCAGCAACTCAGCTTTTGAGTTGTGTATCTTGTGTAGTATTGTATCGTGTTGGGAAGCATTGTGTTGGGCACTGTGTCATTTTGCCTATCTCTTGCTGAAAAGCTCCTTATAAAATGAAATTTTGAAATATTTTGAAATTATCATCAATATGAATGTATGTAATATTGTTTATCATCTCAATACATTCAGTTTAATTATTGCAAGCAATTCACGTTAATAAGGATAAGAATAATAAGAATAAGGAGGCATGTGACAATTATTTTGAAATATTGATATATAAAGTGCAAATATTTACGTTTGGTAATCATGTAAGTAAGCAATAAAGTTTTTAACTACAATTATAATATTAGATAAAATTACAGTACATTTCATATCGTCCATTTTGTTAGTAGAGTAGTTAGTAGACCTAATACTTATTTTTATATTGTACATTTTGTATGTTCTGCTGAAAGTAAAGGGATATGTTGTGTTTGTAAGATATACGAAATAAGAATAATGTATAATTAGGGTATAAGTTTGAGAAAGACTAAAAAACGGTATATTTTATACTAGAAAATACATTTTATATATAAATGGAATTTATAATATTGATAGTTAGATTTCTTTTTTAAAAATGAAAAGATTTTATGAGAGGAATTTATAAGAATTTTTTTGGTTAGTTTTCTTTAATGTTTCAAAAATTTAATATTTTAATTTTTTATTGAAC